CTAGGTTGGTTCTATGCTGTTTTCCCAGCTATCCGACTGGGCTCCATGAGCTCCCCCTTGTTCCGCTCAGCTGTTTCTGTGGGTGTCTCCAGCCTGGTCTTGACCCCTTTGCTCAAATATACAAAGAACTCAAGAAACTAATTACCAAAATACCAAATGATCCAATTAAAGGGGGGGGGTACAGAACTAAATAGAGAACTCTCAATAGAGGAATCTAAAATGGCTCAAAGACACTTAAGAAAGTGCTCAACATCTTTAGCCATCAGGGAAATGTAAATCAAAATAACTCTGAGATATCATCTTATTCCTGTCAGAATGGCTAAAACAAAAAACACCAAAGACAGTTTATGCTGGAGAGAATGTGGAGAATGGGCAGCTCTCCTCCACTGCTGGTGGGAGTACAAATTCGTACAGTCACTTTGGAAATCAGAATAGTGGTTCCTCAGGAAAATGGGAATTAGTCTACCACAAGATCCAGCAATTCCATTCTTAGGCATATACCCAAAAGATGCACATTCATACAACAAGGACATCTGTTCAACTATGTTCATAGCAGCATTATTTATAATATCCAGAACCTAGAATGAACCTAAATGCCCCTCAACTGAAGAATGGATGAAGAAAATGTGGTACATTTACACAATGGAGTACTACTCAGAGGGAAAAACAAACAAACAAAAACCAATGGAATCTTGAGATTTGCAGGCAAATGGATGAAACTAGAAGAAACCATCCTGAGTGAGATAACCCAGTTACAAAAAGACAAACATGGTATGTACTCCTCATATATGGATTTTAGACATAGAATAAAGGGTCACCAGCCTAGAATCCACACTGCCAGAAAAGCCAGGAAACAAGGGGAACTCTAAGAGAGACATACATGATCCCCTGGAGAAGAGGAAAGGAACAAGATCTCCTGAGCACATTGAGAGCATGGAGGGAGGGGCAAGGGAGTTAGGAGAAAGAGAAGGGGAGAAGAGGAGGGGAGAGGACATGAGGGAACAAGAAGATTGAGTCAGGAGAAGAATAGAGGAGAGCAAAAAAAAAAAAAGAGATATAATAGAGGTAGCCATTATATGTTTAAAGAGAAATCTGTCACCAGGGAAATGTCTAGAGATCTACAAGGATGAACCCAACTAACAAGCTAAGCAATAGTGGAGAGGCTACCTTAAATGCCTTTCCCAGTACAGTGTTTCAAATGTGTAACATTCAGAATGGTCCTCGGAACCCCTGATGGCACTGCCATGACTTTTCCTTCCTAATGATTACCTCCTTATAAAGCCTGGTCCTGATGATGGGGTCACTCAAACCTGTTACTCAGATGTTAGCTCTTCACCTCATGAAGGGGTGCCATGTGGTAGAAGGAGTCATGCACAAGGGTCTGCATAAGTCCTGCCATCCACCAACGTGTCAGTGCCTCAGTCTGAAAGGGACCAAAGACCTCTGCCTTGCTCCCTTACTGAAACAGGGCTCCTCTGTAGCCAAGGATGCCTGAGACAGCAGTAAATGCCAACAGCACTGAAGGACCTCCTATCTCTAGTGTCAACTAGATGAGAAAGACACGTTCCTTCCTATGCAGCTATTATTTTGATTTCTTTACCTTCGAAAATGACAGGAAAGTATCAAATCATCTTTCTGTTAGATTGTAAAGCAATCTGTACCATTTAATTAGACAAAGCCCATGGCTTCAAATGACAGAGGCCTAGGCTTGAGTCCCAGCTCCATCATGTACTGTTACTGAGCTTATAGAAGCCTGTGTTTGCTCATCATCAAGATGGGGCTGAGAGCAGAAAAGAGATGTCACAAGGACCAAAGGACATGGTGGTGAGAGCCTGGCACATACCTTGTCAGCTCTCAAAGTTAACTGGCCATTGTTAATGAGAGGTATTTCCAAACACAGTTGAGAATATGCAGATAGCCGGAGAGCACCTGAACAATCCAATAGTGTCATGACACATGAGCCTTAAACCCTGAACATTTTATTCATAGTCAGAATTTAGGGTGACTTCATACCTGAATCTAAGAGTCATTGTAGACCCTTGACTAACACTAGACGCCAGGTACTTCCTTAAAAACATTAAATCTGGCCATTACACAGAGAAACCCTATTGAGAGGGGGGTGGTACATGAGGACAGGTAGGTTAACATTGGGCCAAAGGATTCCCCTGGAGTTGGAGTCCCAAGTGGTTGTGAGCTACTCGGCATAAGTGCATAAGTGTGGGAACCAAACTCAGGTCCTCTTTAAAGAGTAGTGTGTGATCTTAGCCACTGAGCCATCTCTCCAGTCTCATTTGATTATTTTTGAGATGTAGTTTTATGTAGCCAATGTTGGCCTTGACTCACCATATAGCCAAGGAAGATCTTGAACTCCTGAATTTCCTGTTTCGAACTCCTGAGTGCCACCACACCTGCTTTATGTGGTATTGAGGATTGAACCCAGTGAGTAACTGGGTAGGCTGAGTTCGGGAACGGCAGAAGTGACATGCATGAGTGACAGATGCTCAGGCAGTGGGACTTAGGGTTTAAGTAAGAGGTGAGGAGGTTGGGGAAAGCTTTTTACAGCTCTGCTTGTCCACATCCACTCACCATTGGGGTCAGGACATTAATGGATTTAAAAGCCCCCCACAGCACATGATACATAGCACAGTTAGGTAGCTTTTACTATACCATGAAGAAAAATCAAATTATGTGAAATGTGTGCTTCATAAGACAGGAAAAAGGGGAAAGGTGGGTGCCACGTGAAGGGGTAGATTGCCAGGGAATGCTGATCTATGCTGTTTATGCTGCCATGATAAATAAGCAGTGCACCAACATTTTAAAATGAAAGGAAGAATGGGGGAAAGTGGCTGCCTGAATGACTTCCTCATGAATCTTTATATTTTATCTTAGCCCAGCGCTTTCATTTTTACCTTTTTTTTAAATAGCTAGGATTTTGTTGTGTTGTTCAGTTTCAATCCTCCTGTCTCGGCCTGCTGAGTAGCTGGGGTTACAGCTGTGAACTGCTGTGTCTGATGCTGCTTGCCTGAGTTTCTATGTGGTCCAGAGTATGGAGCAACCCTTGACTTCCTCTGCCTATGTGTTTAGGATGTAGCCTTTATAGGTTTGGCCTCTTCTGCTTTGAAAGGGCTCTTAAACTATTTCCTTGGATATTTTGAGAGATGGGCATTAAAAAACAAAGATGCCAAACTTATTTAAATGGTGGCAGGGAGGTGCTGAGTGGCCTTTTTGGCACAGGCAGCCACCAGAAGGGTTTCCAGATCCTTCCTTGGCCAGAGTTGAGCCTGGCAACAGAAACAGAGCGTGTGTTCAGCAATGGGGCACGTTTTCAGCCATAGCCACTGATAGCTCCCTGTTTATAACCTTAGATTGTTGCCTCTTGAAGTTAGATTTTGTTTTATGTCTATCCATATCATATTCTCTAGGCTCCATAAAAAGCTCCTTTCCAAGTCCCCAAATGAAGCTTACCAAATCTGACTACTAGAAATGCAGTTAGGGCAAATCTGAAAAGATCCTAAAACAGGCATTTCAAATTTATAAAATCATAACAATGATAACTTCAAAATACCCTTGATTTCTGGTTTTGTGAATAGGGAAAATCCTCCAGGAACTATGAAAGTAAGCCCTTTTGTGACAGCCCACAGGCAGTATGTGGACAATGGAGAGGTAACTACACTGGAAAGAGGGGGTGACATTGTTCCTGGAGACTAGGACGGCCAGCTTTAACAAACAGGTAGAAAACAGTCCATTCTCTTTGAATTTCAGAGTAAACATACAGACACACACACACTCACACACAATATGTAGTATATATAGCTTACTGAATGCTCCCATTGAAAACTCGTCTGTTATAAGCAATTCAAGTATACCAGGGTGTCTCAATGCTAACACCTCTACCTTTGCCTCTGCCCCTATGAAATTTGGGCTACGTGGGAGATAGAGATGTGTGGGGATCTTATGGGATCACTTAGGACTGTAACAAAATGATTGGCATGGCATGGCATGGCATGGCCATCCCTCCCTCCCACCTCTTTCTCAACTCTTCTCTTGGGAGGCTTCATGGCTCTGGCCAGCCCCTTGCCATGTCTGTCTTCCCTTTGCAAATAAAAGCCTTCTCTCATTGCTCTATTCCCCTTCTGCCAACCCCCATTCCCCACAGCAAACCCCCCAAGCCCACTCCTGGAGGTTGCAGCAAGGAAGCAGGAAGCTATGCCACTGTACACTTGGGAACACTGCTTTGCTTTGACATGCTATTGTTTGGGGGAAGTTAGGTTTTGGACAGGTTTGGAAATGGCTCTGGAACGGAAGTTTTCTACCCCACCACCCCCACCATTTTCTCATAGAACTTCTCTCCCACCCATCTATTTAGATGTTAAGAAACACATCAGTTGAAACTTCAGGACTACAGATAAACCAGGGCTGAAGCTCAGTGTTAGACTTCAATGGCAGAGGATTTTAGGATCCCCAGGACACTGCCCAGGTTCTGGAAATGGAAGGGAGCCTCCCCACACCCCGCCAACACAGACGTCTGATGAGTGGTCTTTAGCAACAAAGCCCTGTAATCGTGAAGATGTCATAAAAACAGGGAAGGGATGGCTCTTGCTTTCAGATTCCAAGTGTCGTACAGCCAAACATTTATGGCTTAGCTATAAATGCATGGGAAAATGAGAGAAACATTGACACAACAATAAACGAGGGGTAAGACTGAGACGGATGGTGCCACAATGCCATCTGTTATCATTTGGTGCAGAGAAAATTAATTTTTGAAGGCATTTCATTTAACTTTGCAATATTTTGCAGTGTGACATCTGATTATTTAAAATCCTTTCATTTCCCTTCTTCCCCTTAAATCTAAGAATGGTGGAGGGCGGGTGGCGGGGTGGGCACGTCTAATGTGAGTATAGCTCTACGGCAGGTGGATGATCTGGATCTAGGCAAGCAAAAGTCACTACTGGCCATAACGAGATTGCACATCCACTTTCAAAAGACTAATATGTGTTACCTTCCAGAGCAAGGCACCGGGGTGGGCTAGACGTCCAGATAAGGTTGTGTAAGCATTCGAGATACTCAGAACCCTCAAGTTTAAAGCCAGGGAAGCAGCGATAGGCAATCACAGTTCCCACGGGGAAGGAGGTCTGGAACTCCGAGATGTTCACGTAGCCGTTGGAAGAGGCTAGAGGTCTCAGGCAACCTGTGAAACATCAAAGGGAAAGAGGAAAGGTGTCTCCAGGCTGCCTCTGCATGTTTCAAGGTTGTCCCTTGGCAAGAAGACTTGGGCCATGTGTAGACAGATGTTTGCTGATATATTTTAAGTGGTACCGCAAGGGTCAGATAGAGGTTTAGCGGGGAAGAAGGGAGGCACGAGGCATATGGATTAGCACATCCATAGCTGGTGAAGCTGTTCCTAAATGGAACCTCAGCATCGCTTGAGGGCTTTTACAAACTAGTGGTGCCCAGGCCCCATGCCCTGGAGGAGAACCTGGGTTAACTACATGTTTATGAAGCTCCCTGTGTCATTTAAGGTGACACTGGGGATGAGGGCACTCTAGGAGGAAACAGACGTTACAATGGCTAGGGTCTGTGAATTGGGCAAGTTATGTTCCAAACTCAATCACTGGCCAGAATCGTGCTTGGGCTGGTACTACTAGATTTCTGGGTATCTGATTTTAAGGGAAACAGGTTAAGAGGATAAAGTACACTGTTTTTCAAGCTTGTAAACTCCCCAGAGGGCTAGACAGACAGACTCCAGGTCATACGTCTCGTCTCAGCTAGGCTGGCTGACCTACAGATTGACTGCCCTGCCTCTGTACCCCAGCCCAGCACTGGGATACAGACACTTGCCACCATACCAAGCCCTGTCTCTGTGTTCCTGGAGATCCCACCTTACATCCTCATGCTTGCAGGTACTTTACCAACTGAGCCATCTCCTGTGTTAAAAACCCTTAGATGGTTTCTAATTTTCCTGAGCTAAAAACTGTTTTTTGCAGCAAAAGCAGAGTGTGAAGAGTCGGAGGGAGGAATGGGAATCAGGAAGGAATGGAATCAGTTAACGGGAATAAACCCATTAACAGGAACAAAAGGAAGGCATGGGATGCTTACACAGTTCTGGTGGCCGACCTGGTGCTGGCCTGGCACTCCCTCCTGTGATGGGGTTCCAGCTCTAAGATGCTGGTCTTTCCCAAATCACATCTGATTCTGCCCCCACAGTGAGGAGCAGGGCTTGCAGACTCTCTCCAAAACCTGAAGTAGCCACCATAAAAAAAAAAAAAAAAAAAAAAAGGCCTCTGAGCAGCCTACCCTTCACTCCTCCCGAGGAGATGGCAGGAGCTATAATTTGTTTGGCTAATCAGTGCTGGGAGGGAAAGATATGCTCACTCTTGGTTGGAGACAGCCCATCTTAAATATAACAGTGGGAAACAGGCTTCAACTCAATAGTTCAATGGGATTTCCATTTGCACTTCTAGGAAATAGAGAGATGCCTACTGGAGCTTCAGCCCCTGGATCTATAGGTGCAAATAAAAGTTCTAGAATGAAATGTCACTCTTAAGAGCCAATTACAATCCACCGGGGCTGGGAGAGGTGCCAGGCTGTCTGCAGCAACTCAGGACCCTTCTTTGCAGTGTGTGCCAGCTGGGCGGCCAGGTGGCAGCTGGCAGGACTGTCTCCAGCAGCAATAACATGCAGGATGGGCTGCAGCCACAGCACAGGCCGGCCACTCTGGGATGGAGGGTTCTGAGCGGTGGCAGTGGGGTGGGGCCTGTGGCATTTGAAGAGGCATATACCTTAAGTGTAACCAGGTGCAGGCCTGTCACCCCAGTTACTTGGGAGACTGAGGCAAGAGGGTCACAAGCTCAAGGCCTTTCTGGGTTATGCAGTGAGTTCAGGACTAGCTCGAGGAATTTAGTGAGATCCTTCTTTCAAAATTAGGAATAAAAAGAGGATTATGACCTAGCCCGTGTGAAACCCTGGATTCAAATCCTAGTAACACCACAAAATAAAAAGGGAAACAAAAGGAATAGCCATGCAGCTCTCTTGTTGCTGACCTAGAAAAGTCATGTCTTGAGAAAGGGAGACGGACCCAGATTGGCCAGACAGAGCAACAGGAAACACAGGTCTGAACTCTTTAAACTAACACCCCAAAAGGCTGGGGGGGGGGGGAATTCCTAAGGAACACAGTGTATTTAAGCAATAAGGCTAGGGAAACTAGAAAGAATGAGAGGCCACAGAGAAAGGACTTGGAGAAAACAGGGCTGCAGGGAGTGGCTGGAGTCGGAGGTGATTTTCCTCACCCGGGAATCCAGCCCTGGAATGGATTTGTCCCTGGAATGAATCTGTGGCTAATGATGTTTATTTGCATGAACAGCCCAACCCAGGCGCCAGCTGCTTGTTTTGTAGGCAGTCTCTGAACAGATAAATAAAACTACGTCTCTTTTAGGGCAGGGTAGTGACACAGGCCACAGGGCAGGGAGTGTGACAGTGGCTGGGCTCCTCTGTCTCCCCAACTCTGAACCCTTTGTTCCTTCATAGGGTCGAGACTCTTAAGCTCGCCTGTAGGAAAACAATTTATTTCTGATGAGGGGAACACAAAACAATACCATGGCCTGCCAGGTGTGATTTCCAAGCATAAAGTTAGCATTCATCCCAACTTGAACATGCCAGAGCAAATCTGAATGCCTTCCTTCTCCCTCCAATTATGAATTATGCATTGGCTTTTTGGTCTATTAGACCAAGTCACATGTCAAAAACTAAAATCAGAATTAATGTGAACTCAAGGGCTATTTTCAAAAACAGGTCTTTCTGTATGTGGTGGCTGGGGCAGATTTTAAAATGTGAAGGGCTAAATATTCACTGTGTGGTTTGGAAGCATTTGGATGTGGTTATTTTTCTACTTTTCATGTGTTATAAAAAGGGATAACATTATGTAGAGAAAATAGTCCCTGTACAATGTGTTCTCTATATTCTCACCACTGAAGTAAGTATTACACCCTGAAATTTTCATTAAGTAGACAAAAATTCACCCGTGTATTCACAGTTAAAAAACCTCCAAATTCTTTTTAATTTATTATTATTGTTATTGTTATTATTATTGTGGGGGGCATGCACATGTATATATACATGCACTTGGACACACATGTATGTGTACATGTGCATAGGCACACATGTGCAAGCCAGAGTGCCTATGGTGGTTGGTTTCTTTTCTACCTTTATTAGAACATTTCAGAGACCAAACTTAGGTTATCAGGCTGACAAGTGAGCATTTCCCTGCTGAGTCCCTCCACTAGCCCAGTTCTCCTGATTCTTAAGCTACTTTTATAGTTTTCTATGGAAAGAGTATGGTGCCCAACATAATAAAAAAGTTAGGTCTTTCCTGTCTAGACTGGGAAACCTGGAGCCGAGTCACCATAAGGAGTGATGAGATTCTAAGGGAAGAGAAAGACAGGAAGGACCTACGTGGGGTGACTATTTTTCTGACATAATCTCTGTTGCTGTGTGAGAAGGTCACGTACATGCACCCTCTACAATGAAGTCGCGACAAGTACAGTTGACAACAATGACTCCCAGCTCATACCTTGACAGATGGGCAAGTTATCCCATGTCCCATCATCACGACACAATGAAACCATGTTGTACAGGTCAGGGTACCGGATCTTGAATCCCTCATGACAGGTTATGATTAACTTATCTCCGTGTCTATATGTCTTGTTATGAATCTCAGCATCTTCAATTTGGGGGATGCGGCAGTCTGCAAAAAGAGACAAATATTACTTTTTTGCTATTTAAAATGGTCAACAGCTTTACAATGAAGTTCTTATTTTTCAGTCCTGGTCTCAAACTACACAATAAACAGATACATGGTACCTCACCTGCCACCATACTCAGGTGACAATGACAAGCTCACAGCCTGTGTCACAGAACTAACAGGAAGAGGAAACCAGTGTACAGGAATTACCCCACAAAAAGAACTTTATTTGCTGCCTATGACAATTCCTATCTGTGGTAGTTTGAATGTAATTGGCCCCCATAAGCTCATAGGGAGTGGCACCGTTAGGAGGTGTGGTCTTGCTGGAGTAGGTGTGGCCTTGTTAGAGGAATGTGTTTCTGTGGGGGCAGGCTTTGAGGTCTCTTAAGCTCAAGCTATATCCAATGTGGACTCAGTTCATTTCCTGTTGCCTGTGGATCAAGATGTAGAACTCTCAGCTCCTTCTCCAGCATCATGTCTGCCTGCACACTGCCATGCTCCCTGCCATGATGATAATGACTAAGCCTCTGAAACTGTAAGTTAAATATTTTCCTTTATAAAAGTTGCTATGGTCATGGTGTTTCTTCATAGCAATTGAAACCCTTACTAAGACACTACCAGATGGTTGATCTTCTGAATAATACTGGAAATGAATGAAGAATTGGCTGTGTTTTTGGACAGGATTCAACACGGTATAGCCTGTCATGTTGGTTGCTGTAGTCACCCAGGCATGATGCAGTACCTGATGAGCAAACATGGTGTGCAGAATAGCATGGAGGCTGAACTACCTCTGTGTTGGCTACCAACAGTGTATGTTCATGAAAGGAGCAGCACATACTCTTGACAACCTCCTTAGGTTCAGGACATCTGGGCATACTATGTCCTCACATGGAGTGGTTGGGACCAAGTGAAAAGAACAACAGAAAGGAGAAACAGGCAAAGGTTAAAGGGACAGTGAGGACATGCAGCAAAGCAACAAAACACACCAAAGAGTGCAAGGTGAGTGTCTGCTTCTGGTCCTATCGAGTCACACAATTCACTGTAGAATCAAACCACAGTGGTCCTCACTGCCAAGTTGGCACTCTGCTCATCCTAACCCTGAACATCCCACAGTTAGTCACCTGGCTTAAGTCACATCGGCCACTGTGTGTTTTTCTCCCATCCCTCTCTATTAAATGTTTCTGATTGTGTGTAGGGGATAGAGGGCAGCAGGACACTGAGCCTGCTGGGTAGATGTTCTATCTTACGGCTTTACTGACAGCCCTAATAAAAGCTCTGATCTTAGATGCACATAGGTTTATAAGTATGACCTGGAGATAGGTTACACTCCAAATTTGAAAACAAGGCAAAAATCTGAGGGGAGTGTTTTCCTATGAGAACCTTTCTCCATAAATTCTCCAATGGGCTAAGGGCTCTTGTGCTCGGCTTTTTAGCTTTCCCCAGAGTCTACTGAATGCACACTGTGGCTGGAACAGCATTAGTAAGAGTCCTGTTCGTCAAGACGATTCAGCTTGAATTGTTAGCTCTGAGGGTCCGAACCCCAGGGGACCTGGTACAGGTAGGAAGGGAGTACTTCACAATGGCTGGTGGCTGCTACTCTAAAAAGAGCCTATAGGTTTTCTAGAAGCAGCATGGGGTAGGACACAGCAGATTCCAGAAATCAGGGCATGAGCAATGGAGAAGACTCAGACAAAAGGCTTCCTTGAGAGAGAGGAGCAGAGGCCATTCACTGTAGATCACCCAGAAGGCTAGGCGTATCTTTATCTTTGCCACCACTGACTTGAGAGCAAGACCCATGTCACTTCGACACAAGTGAGTAATGTCTTCCCCAGCATTTTCCCATTCCCAGGCCCATTCATGCAAACAAGAACTGCAGGGAGGGGGTGCTGCCTAAAGTTCCACCTAGAACCTAGGAGTGCCCAGCCCTCTGAGCCCAGCTAGCTGGCTTTGAGCACACCCAGGTGTCCCCCCACAGTCTGTGCTGAAGACCTGTCTACTGGCTTCTGTTTCGACTCTCATTCACACTATAACTGGCTGTGGAAAAAGGGCACACTAACTATTCAAGTTAAACCCATAGTTTCTGAGTTAAAATAGCCTAATTCCTTCCAAATCAACCCCAGAATAGTCACAAGGTAACTGACAACTCTGCACACCAGCGCTGCCTTCTTCTTAATGGGAAATTTGAATTATGTTTTTCTCAATGGCACTCGGCAGAAATTATTCACAGCAAGTAAAAACACATTTATCAAGGCATCTGTCTGTAAAATCTTGGTGTAAATAGTTCTTGAGATGATAATGTATATGTCAAAGCAACCATCCCATGATGGACTTTAAGTGTCTTTAAGAATTAGCTAATAGAGTCTGGAGGTAGCCAGTTTGGGGAGCAAAGTCTATGGACAGAGTGTCCTCTTGGACGTCACAGACAGGTTGACATTGGCTGGTCAGAGGGAGAAGCTCCCAGGCCTTGTTCCCAAGATTGACTCTCCAGCCTGTGGTAAGATTAATGTGGAATGCTTCACACAGGTTTGGTGTGCTACATTGTGTGTGTGGCCAGGGGTGTTGATACGCTCTGGTCAAAAAGAGACCGTATGGGGGTGACACAACACAATTCACTACATGGGAGAGCCATATAGCACTAAGGCTTTGGAGTTCAGGTCCCACTGAAGCAGAGAAAACAGGCTGCACCGTGCTCTAGGTCCAAGGGGAAAACTAGTCCAGACCAGCTCTAACACACCTTCAACTTCAACAGAAGACAGGGTCATCACATCCCCTCTGATCATTCATACGCACTAAGTGGTATCCACCTCTCTCAGAAGGAAGGGTAAGGCAAGTGTAAGGTAAGATGTTGCCTGGAGTAAGTATCTGCCCCTACAAGCTTTGGTAATGATAAATATCCATCAACCTCATTTCTAGGAAAGGATCAGGACCTTGAGTATCTGAAAAATAAATGTGTCATCTTCATTAATGCCAAAGTTAGTTTTACAGAGGAATGCAGACATTCCTTGGCTTATATAGGAGCCACACCCAGAAAAGCTCACTGCAAATTGAAAACATTAAAAGTTGGAAATGGGGCTGGGAGATGGCTCAATCAGCAAAATGCTTGCAAGCCCAAAGACCTGAGTTCAATTTCTAGAACCAGTAATAATAATAATAATAATAATAATAATAATAATAATAATGGGAGAAGGTATGGTGGTATACATTTACAATCCTAGAGAGGCAGAGACAAGTGGGCCTGTTCACCAGGCAGTCTAGCCTAATGGGTAAACTCTAGACCAACGAGAGACCCTGCTCAAAAGACAAGGTGGATGACACTCCTGGGGGATGACACTCAGGGCTGTCCCCAGCTTCCACATGCCTGTGCACACCCATGTACTGTATCCCCACCACCACCACATGCATGCACATAAAACCTACTGAACTTCCCGCAGCCCCGCTACCCCAGTACAGTGTAGAGTGTCGGTCACTTTCCCTCACTATCTTCCTTGAGTAGAAGCTGCAGTCTGCAGCCATTGACCCAGCATCAAAATGGAATTCCGTGCCATGTTCCACTAACCCAGGAAAACACAAAATTCAAAATGTGAAGAAAGGTTTCTACTGAGTGTGCTCTGCTTTCACATCAGGGTAAAGTCGAAACATCATTAAGTTGGACCATTGTTATGTCTGGGACTGTTCCTCACACAATTTCCTACACCACAAACTCATCCATCCAGGAAAAAAAAATCACAAAGCCACTTCAAACCTATCATTAGCAAAGACTAGATGCATCTGTCAATATTTGATTCTGTCACACAGAATCCGGGCCAACAGTTAGAACTTTGGTTGGTGAGCCATAAATGGGCACTTCCAGGATATAGGCTGAGGAGTAGCTAAGGGTCCCTTTCAGGAAAGCCATATTTCAGCATCCCACCACAACCACTGCTGTGCAGTGAACCCATTAAAATGGAGATTCGGTGTAATGAACAAGTACAAGAAGGAAGGGAAGATCTAAGGTATGCTGCACCGTCACACTGAGTACAGGTTAATTTATTAGACTAGTCAGCAGAGTTCAGTCTCAGGGGGTGGGCAAGCGCAGGAAGAGTCAAAACACTTTCAAGATGTTGGTTATGTATAAAATTCATACCATTCCCAGGAACATGAATATATGATGTATAGATACATCATACAATCCACATTATCATGTTTAAGGCTCCAAATGTCTTGTTGTAAATAATTTGACTTACATTCCCAAGAACTGGCATTTGTTAGTCTTACTTATCACCCTGCTATTCATCCATTCACTCGGTGACTACTGGGCCCACACTCTAGGTCCAGTGTACCCTAGGTGTGGGGGCAGAGAAACCATCACTGCCACTCTCAAAGCACTTGCGTGGGGGAGGCTTCTAACCGCAAAATTAAGAGACAAATGAGCTAGAAAAGAACAGGCAAATCTCACTACTGCGATGAGCTCAGAATATGGTGATAAGATAGGGAGTGACTTGGGGACTCATTTAATTCTAGCAGACAGGCAAGGAGCCTCTGAGGAAATGACATTTATTAAGCTGAGACCTGAATGACAGCACTGATCCAATTACATGTGGATCTGGGAGATTTCAGGCAGGATGGTTGGGTTAGCACAAAGGCCAGAAAGGAGCTTGGGGCCCTAAAATACACAAGAGGAGACCTCTGTGTTTGGAAGACAGCAGCCAACAGGGGGAAGGAAGGACCAGACCACACCAGGCTTGATAGGGAGAGGAGTTTTAGTTCAGTAGGATGGGACCTAAGCATGTAGAAGGGTCTGGGTTATATTCTCAAAAGATTTGTCACATGTGCAGTGAAGGATGAGTCTTGGCCAAATCTATGGTCTTGTTCTCAGGTCCTGGGAGGTACCTTCTAAGCTCCTGGAGTGTCCTGACTGGGCTAAGTACCCATGTTTGCCTAGTGGTGTTAGCATGCTACGCTGTCTGTGTGATTTGGGACACCAAATATCAATTCAGCTTCTTGGAGGGGGGAGTCCAATTTTA